GGGGGCTTCTAGCGACAAGGCACGCCTGGAACCGGCGCCTCGCAGGCTGTCAGGAAGTCGGGTGTCACGGGCTGGGCCACGGGAGGGCGTGAGGTGAGAGGCGTCGTCGAGCGGGCCGTCAGCTGTTGGCGTCACAGCCTGGACCAACCGTAAAGGACGCCCTTCTCTAACCTCCTCCTGCTCCTCATGGCTCATCCGTCCAGCTGCCCCCCCCCCCTCCCCCTCAATGCTGTGTCTTTCTGCTGGGTCAGGGTGTCGCTTCCTCTGGAGAATCTCCCTATGCATGGGGACCCCCCGCGCCGTCGCCGTCAGCTGGGGTACCGGCTCCTCGTCTGACGGCATGCATGGCGTGTCTCTGCGGGTCTTTCTGTCTTTATCATGGAGTGGTTCGGGTCCGGGCCAATCCGCCTCGCCCCGCCCTGTTCGGCCACACCTCCCGATCTGATCTTGTACCCCGTGATGCGCTCTGAGGTTTAGCACGGGCGGGCAGGGCGTGGCGGGGCGTGGCGGGACTGACGAGACTGAGTCCACTCCACTAGACCAAGGCGCGATGGACTTATGCAATGAGGCGCTCACCTCACACCTCCACTCTCTCTTTCTCTCTCTCTCTCTCCCTCTGTCGAGCGATCAACACACACACTCACACGTGCTGCAGCGTCTAAGGGTGCGACACACACACGGGCGCGGGGCATTCACACCGAGCGCGTCGGACGACGCATGCTACTCGCGCCATTATCTCACCCAATTAAACAAACACACACACACTTACAGCCTATGGCCCGGTAGCGAGCCCGGTAGCCGGGTGCTCACCGTCGACGCAAACAAACGAGTACTATAACAGTATTTATTATTGCGAGGGGGCAATAACTCCCTTTTGAAGTGTACACATGATTCCCGAAATTCTTGATTCCCAGTGATTCCCGTCCGCTTTTATTCATTCCTTAGGTATTTTAGTGGTAGAAAACGATTATTTCGACTAATTTGTACCAGTTCCTCTAGTCTCCCACTAAATTTAAGCGATTTCTGTTGATTTCGAATAATTTTTATCCTGATGATTCCCAGGCAGGTTTACACATACGTGTATGGTTCCCGGAGTTGTTGCCCCCTCGATTTATTGCGTGTCCACATACATCGTTAGAAAATATGGTTAAGACTACTCCGACGTCTAGAATTCTTTCGCATCTTTTTCTACGACCCTTGACCCCGGATCCCACTAGATCTTCTACATGTCATTACTCTGGCAAGCTGACCTCTCGCATTTATTGTCCTTTCAGCTTTGAGCCAGAACCACCCTGTCATGAGTTAATTTTAGTTTTAGACAGCCAAACCCATTTTCGCCCTGTTTCTGACGTTTCACTACGGCCCCACCTTAAGAGCGTCGTTAGCGTGTAAAGCTATGCTCTCCCAATCACTGCGGCACAGCGACACGGGGGGTTGATAAACAGACTGGCCCCCGTATATAACGCCCCCCAGTTGTGTGGTCCGGCATCATCGTCCCACCAGCAGCAACGGCGTGAACAACCATGAAGTTCTTTGCTCAGGTGAGGGTGGAGCGCACGGTGGGAGCCAGCGAACTGAAATGCATTACCGTTTGCTAACTCGTTCCTTTTCCAATCATAGGTCGTTGTGTTGCTGGCAGTCGCCTCCATGGCTCTGGCTCTGCCCTACGGCCTAGGCGGTTACGGCCTCGGTGGCTACGGCCTCGGCGGCTACGGCGGCCTCGGCGGCTATGGCGGATATGGCGGCTACGGCGGCTTGGGCGGCTACGGTGGCGGGTACGGCGGGTACGGAGCCGGGTACGGCCTCTCCACCTCGCTCAACTTCGGTGCCGGCGTGGGTGGCTACGGCGGCGGCTTCCTAGGCTGAGTCTGCATTGTTTCGATTGGAATAAACGAGTCACGTAAATGAAAACGTCGTTTCCCCCCTCACCCTTGCATGTGTTCAATACGAGGTTCAATGTTGACGTTTATCACCCTTGCATTTGTTCAATAACGTTGATGGACACTTAAATACTGCAGAGTAAATTTTTATGAACTCTTTTATACACACTTACGTACATCTGTGCACAGATGCACATGTGCATGCTCTATTGCGTATAATATTAAACGCAGTTATGGACAAAATTGTTCATAGTTGCATATATTTCTCCAAATTAGTTCTCAATTGCGCTTAAAATAATACGCACACTAGAGCATTCACACAGATGTACGTAAGCTGCGTACCAAAAATAAGTTCATAACAATTTAGTGTTTGCACCAAAAGATTAACTACTCTCACTCAAACAGTCACCACCCATTTATTTCGGACTCGCTTACGGAGAGTTTTTCGCAAGCGTAACATAGGGACACCCAGAGAAAAGCTTAGTGGTAGGGACCATAGTATGGTCAATTTAGGGACCACCTTAAAGTATGGTTGATGCAACATTATCGTGGTCGTGAGAACCAAAAATGTGGTTTCCATCACGTTGTTATTGTTGTTTCAACCAATTTTATGGTGCTCCCCGTGCCAAGCATAAGATGGTTGCCATTGCTAAAAATCATTTCTCTGAGTGGACTAATGAAGTGTAGTAATAATACGGATTAAATAGTTTATATTGTGGACATTTATCCATATAATACAAATATACAACTTCATGCACACAGTTTTAAAAAATGTTGAAACTTGACAATAAGTGGAAAAAGTTTCCGGAATTCTTCGTAAAATTTCAACCCTTCTTTGGAAACAAAATTAAGAGTGGTGGAATCAAACAAAATATCGCGCCTATAGCTGTTTTTGTTCCAAGAAGCGTCGTGAATTGTTCGGTTTTTGGACCCTAGAAAATGTTAGGATTTCACAGTTACTAACCAACAACCAGATAATATTTTCTTCAGAAAACTGTATATATCCTCAATCGGATTGCATCATTAAATTCCCTTTACTTCTAAGGTTCCAAACGCATTGGGATAAAATGGAAAAATTACTAAAGTTGCCTTATTTTCTAATATCTTTAAATTACAGAAACGAGTAAAAATCTTGCACGCGCGATTTTACCGACTTAATTTCACGTACAGCTCTGATTTTGTGGGGAAGTAGGTTCTACCAATATCCACAATCTGTCGCAGGAGTCTTTTGATCAGGCCATATTTTGAACTTTTCTGTGGGGTGTTTAAAATTTTTCTCATTTAGTTTGTTTTGTAAAATTCCAATAGAAAATGACTGTTGGTGTGAGGAAGTTTCTAATCTTATGGTGCAATACAACAACAGCTAGTCGCGATATTTTTTATGGAGTCTATCACTCATAATTTATGGACATTAAGAAGAGTTGGGATTTTTCAAAGAGTTCTGGCAACTTTTCTTACGTATTGTAAAGAAATTAACTGTTTGCATAAAACATTATTTGACCTTATAATGCAGTACTAAAGTGCCCGCCCATTAGTTTTGACGTGAGTCAGTTGTATCCAACATGTTGGTGCACTGAGTGCGTTATAGCCTCCGTTTTGGCCTCGTCCCAAATTTTTACTCAACAGCTGTTTGGACAAGGTAACGTGTAAGGACGTTGACATTGAACACATGCAAGGGTGAGGGGGAAAACGACGTTTTCATTTACGTGACTCGTTTATTCCAATCGAAACAATGCAGACTCAGCCAAGGAAGCCGCCGTAGCCGCCCAAGCCGCTGCCCCCGTAGCCGCCGTAGCCGTAGCCACCCCTGTTGTAGTTGAGCGAGGTGGAGAAGGAGCTGCCGAACCCGGTTTGGTAGCCGCCACCGTAGCCACCGTAGCCGCCGCCACCGTAGCCACCGTAGCCACCAAGTGGGAAGCCGTAGGGCAGAGCGAGAGCCATGGAGGCGACTGCCAGCAACACAACGACCTATGATTGGAAAAGGAACGAGTTAGCAAACGGTAATGCATTTCAGTTCGCTGGCTCCCACCGTGCGCTCCACCCTCACCTGAGCAAAGAACTTCATGGTTGTTCACGCCGTTGCTGCTCGTGGGACGATGATGCCGGACAACACAACTGGGGGGCGTTATATACGGGGGCCAGTCTGTTTATCTACCCCCGTGTCGCTGTGCCGCAGTGATTGAGAGAGCATAGCTTCACACGCTAACGACGCTCTTAAGGTGGGGCGTTCGTGAAACGTCAGAAACAGGGCGAAAATGGGTTGGGCCGGGTTGGGCTGTCTGAAAATAAAATTAGCTCATGACAGGGTGGTTTGGGCTCAAAGCTGGGTGGTGGAGGGTATGCCGATTAACTGTCGGAGGTGTACGTGTAGGCGTAATGAACCGATCTAATTCATTAAAAGTGAGAGAGACAGTTTACAGAAGACCTAGAAAAATGTATATTTGGTATTAGTCGATTTTTCGTGTACTTGTTTCTCTCGAGTGCATTGCGCTTATTTTGAGTAGAATACTTTTTGAGTACAATCCCTGTCATGCCCTAACAAAATGTGCCTGTAATTAACAAATTACTAGATGATTGCGGTAATTATTTTGGATGCAGTGGGCCTCAAAATCTCAACGTTTGGTGGAGTTATGCGACCGCCTTGAAAGAAATGGTTTCAATTGTATTTCGCGGACTATATCCAATAATGGACTGAAGGAAAATAATAGAGGAACACGTCCCCTGATATTTGAGCTGTACGCCGCCTGGCAATGCTGCTCTAGATACTGGGCCTGATTAAGCCCTTTCAGAATTTCGAAAAGAAACGGCGGGCTTGCCGTACGGGGCCCGGTTTGGCCGCTGATGGGAGCCGGGAGGGGCGCGGCAGGGGCGCGGGGACAGCGACTCCCAACCGTTGCGGTGGTATCAGCCGCGCGCGCTGGCGCTGACTCGGACGCTACCCGTGCTTGGGATAAGAAGAAGCACACCACCCACCCACGCGTATCACAAACTTAGCGGATGCATACTACTATATCTATGGGGGAGCCCCGCTCTTGGCCCCAGGGAGCCAGTAGTAACCAAGCATGTAACGCATTTGTACACTATGATAAACGCAAGTGTTAAGCTGTGCATTTTTAAGTGTGTGACTCCGCCGTCGACCACTTTCTTAGACTGGACGCTCACTGTGTGGAAAGCAGTTGCACACTTACAATGCACAGCTGCAATTGGGCTACAATTGGAACACATGCAAGTGGAATACACACAAGTGTATTTCAATCGAGATAAACGCTTTCAAGTATTTAACTCGCAGTTGCACACTAACTAGTGTTTCGCAGTTGAACAACACGTATGGGCATTCACACACCAGTGTCACACACGCACATCCATGGCGCTATGACTGAAGGCCCAGATTTCGCGTACGTCACTGGCCGCCTCGTGTCGGCGAGTCTATATGGCGGGCGGGCGGCGCGTCAGAGTCAGATGGAGCACCCATGTGGCCGGCTAAAAAGAATTCCTCGTAACCCCGTCACTAGCCTCCCCCTCCCAGCGGGCAGCCCTTTTTGTTTCTTAAAAATAGTATAGCCGACTCGATGCGCGGCGTGGTGCGGCGTGGCGCTCGCGTGCCTCCACCGTCACACAGTAAGTCGCGTTATTACACACATTACGCACAACGCGTTTCCTACACTGTGAAACATTGTGAACTTTACTTTCCTTAACAGCCGAAACGGTTCAGGTTTATGTATGCGCACCCTCTCTTACCGGCTTCAGACCGTGTGGCTTATGCACAAATTAAAGAGCATTTAAAAACCATTCCGTGCACTTGCCCGGCTCCTTCACAAAAATCCCTAAGGGACAAGAAAGGGAAATAGGCTTTATTTTATTTGGTGTAACTTCACTGGAAAAACGAAGCTGTCGGACTTGTTGCATGTCTTGGTGTTCTTTAAAAAGGCACGAGCATTTTTTTCAATTCCAACCACACTACAAGAATTTCTGTTACTTACAGATTGTACGTCCGTAAGGAAACGGGCGTGCAGTGATTCGAAAGAAAAGTATGTCTGTTTCTATATAATTTTTCTCTTTTTCTGTCCGCAGTGGTCGGGCACATGACTAGTCCATCATCATGGACTCGCAAACCTACCTGGAACAATTTTGCGGCGGCAAGTTTTGGGTGAGTACTTGTTCCTTTATGCTAAAAATCTTTCTGCGGCCAGGGCAGTTTTACCGGCCACTTGGCACCCATTTGGTACACATACACCCAGTCTGTCCCGCCGTACACTCGCTCGCGTACGCGTTTGGTGTGCTCTCACTTTGCATCCCTATTTCGGTACGCTCCTTTGTCCACCTTGTACTGCCGCCTTCCCCCCCCCCCTTTCACTGTGAAAAATAGTGGTAAGGTTTACAAGAAAATTTTCCTTGAAAAAGTTGTAAAATTACAGAGAAAATTACAAAAGTACATACAAAAATTCGAAACATCGACTTAAAGCATTATGGCGATTAAAAAATGTGCTCTCGTAAATTTACAACTTAAATTATAATTCGAGTTTACAAAAATTCGGTAAATTTACGACGATATTTTTCACAGTGTTCCAGTCCGTAAGCCCTGACGTTGCCAGGTCGTGGAAAATTTCTGTCGACGCGAGCCGAGCTTGGGTCTTGCGGACCGGGTGGGCTGGTTCTCGTGGGGGGCGAGCTGTAAGCCCAGTCGCGGGCCTCGAACCTGAACCGGCTATCGCGATAAACACAGATTTTCAAGCTTGTTTCTCCCGACGCAAAACCTCAAAACGACATTTATTATAATCCTCTTGTCCTTTTACTGTTGATACTTACCTCGATACTTACAACACAGGGTGGTTCCTTCTGGTGGTACCGGGTTATACTGCACCGGATGCAGGCGAGCGATCGTAGGGTTGCCTATCGTGTCGCTCACCGAGGCGCCTTTTCGGCCCCGTGCGAGTATGCGACCCGTCCACCCGCCTGCATTCGGTCCAGTTTAACCGGAAGAAAGAACGGCGCGCCGATGAACATGAACCACCCTGCCTATGCTCATCCAACCCCTCCCTATCGTTTCGTTTTTATCATTTCATTTTCTTATTTTAACCGGCCTCAAAGTCAGTTCTTTCTCAAACTGTACGTGCAGGGTGTATAAAGCAGCCAGCTGGTAAAAATATGCGTCGCCAGCTTTTCGTCACGATCGGTCACGATCGAAACCTGACCTGGCGCACGTTACCTTCAAAAAGTATAAAACAAACCCCCTTATCTTTTGGCACGTTATCCCTTATCGCCCTTACCCGTTACCGTGCAGGCCGCAAAGCGGCACTCGCATACTCGCCTGCCGGCCCGCCCGTAAACTTGACCTGCGCGAGAGGGGGAAGGAAAATAAAAAATAAACGGAAGGAAAATGGAATAAACCATTCTTCCTTATCTTTCCGTCCTTGTCCCTTGATCGGGCGCGGAGACGCAACTGAGAGCCGCCGCACTAATCCGCTCTGCTCTCTCTCTCTCTCTCTCCTCTCCTCGCAGGACGCCAACCTAACGTGGTACACCGAGTCGCCCGACTTCACGGACTGCTTCCACCGGACGACCATCCTCTGGGTGCCCTTCGCCCTGCTATGGCTCCTCAGCGGCGTGGAGGCCATCTTCCTGCTCAACAGCAAGAAGCGCAGCGTGCCCTACACGTGGCTCAACGTGCTCAAGCTGGTGAGTATGGCACACGGCACACGTTGTGTGTGTTGAGGAGGACTCCCCGCGCTAAAGTCTCCTCTCTCGGGGGGTCAACCGCCGGGTCACAACCACCACACACGCTCTGCTCCACGCCGTGGTGCGGCACCACTCGAAATCTCGAGAGCGTCGCGTCGTGGTGAGTGGGAGTCAGTGTTCTCGGAGAGCGGTCGGCCCGCACTTGACTCCGCGCCGCTCCGCGCTCTGCCGGACACAGACTCGCGTGCGCACGTGCGCGCGCCCAGCCGGCCGATGCCAAGGACGCGTGCGGTGCCCTTGGGCCGCTTTGTAGTACAAAGCTTGTACTGCTGCCCTTCAATCGCATAAAAATGTGTACATACTTATGGCTGCACAACAAAATGCATAAGGGTTTAGCGAGGGGTCGTCAACTCCCTTCGGCCGTGTACGGAGGAATATATATTACAAGTAATATGTGTAATATCGGTAATGTCAGTATTATCAAGTAATATCAAGTAATATTATGTAATATCATGTACTATCAAGTAATATTACGTAATATCAAGTAATATTACGTAATATATCAAGTAATACACTGCCGCTCGAAATTAGCGGCGCACTTTTTTGAGCCGGCGTCGGAATGTCGAGATTTGGCCTGTAGACGTATCATTGGTTCCTCTTGGATCCCACGAAGTGCGCATCCCTTGCGCCACCACATACGGCCTGTGCAGCCCCTAGAGT